TGATGTAAGACGAATAGGGTTTGATTTGTAAAATTAGGGAATTGGGAATTGAAAAAAAAAAAAAAAACTTAGACACTACACCTAGTGTTTTTTAGACATCACCTCTAAGAAATCAAATGTATCATGCTTAAAGGTTTGATATCATCATACAATCAGAAAGCTAAGAAACACTCAAATTATTATTGAAAACTTGAATGAATAATACATAAAATAACAACCATTTATAATAATCTCTAAATATTTTTTCCTAACTAGAATTAAACTAGAAAATAATAATATGATAAAATTAAGAATACTAATTCTCATACAAATAGAAAATAATACTAATAAAAATAAAATCCTAACTCTAATAAGAATTTTTTTTTAGATAACCCAACTCTAGAAAGAATAAAATCCTAAGTTTTCTTTTTTTGTATTGAAGTAAAGGTCACAAGAGAGCAGCCCACGTACAAAATTTACATGTCAATTAGCATATTTACAATGAAACCAAAATCATTAATACCATCGAGGTTATACACAAAACAGTATAATCAAAATAATGAAACCAACTATCCTTAATAGTGCCAAAATCCATTTCTTTTCCCTAAAAGCTCGTTTGTTTTTTTTTTTTTTTCAAATGACCCAAATATTAGTTAGGAATGAATGTGAGGGATTTGTTTCTATTGCTAATTCCTTCCTAGACAAGAAGCTCAGAGATAGTCGATTCAGCCCTGACCCAAGACATACCCAAGAGACCCAAAATCTTGGACCAAAGCTTGTAAGAACAGAGCACCAGAGAAGAAGATAATTACATGATTCCAAGCTGTTTTTGTAAAGGAAACATTTGTTGATAGTGATAAAGCCTTTTTCATGAGACTGTCAAGAGTTAGTGTTGATTTTTAGAGAAAAAATATAATTTTATTTCTCACCCTTTAGATTGTTACATTTGAGTATTTATAGAATACTTATTCTACTAATAGAAAAATTTCTATTTTAGTAAACTTCTAATTACATTAAATTACCTAATTAAATAATAAAGTAATTTAAATAATAAAATAGAAAAATATCATATTTAACATTCCCCCTCAAGTTGGTGCAGAAATATATTTCATGCCCAACTTGCATACCAAGTTGCAAACTAGAATCAAATATGTTAGACAGCAGTATGGTTCGGCTCAGCCCAAAAACGGTACGAGTTCGACTCAAAAATTGGCTAAAAAAGGTTCGAACTCGGCCCAAAAACAGCTCAAATTCAGCTACAAAAACGGCTCGAACTCGGCTCAGGCAGATTTGTGCAAAGTAGAGATCGTGGCCAGAAAAGCTTCATATCGAGCGGCTCTGTGTGCGGCGAAAAAGAAACTGGTTGCTCGGTACTTTGCGTGGCTTTGCGTGCGGAGGAAGAAGAACCAGATCATGCAACTCTTTGTGTGGCTCTGCGCATGGTGGAAGAAGAAGCTGGGTTAATTGGTTTTTTTTTCTCGCACCTCTATGCGCAACTGAAGAAGAATAGATCAGGGGTTAATGCGTCTCTACGCGTGACTAAAGAAGAATTTACTCGAGGCAAACGCGACTTTGCGCGCGGTTGAAGAAGACGAATTCTGAGGATCTCTCTTCGCATGACTCTGCGCGCGGTGGAGGCCGGCTGCTCTCTTTCTTCCTCTGCTCTAGCCTCTCTTCTTCTAATCTCCCTCTCTTCTGATCTGGGTCTTTCTATTCAGACTATTTTGCTATTTTAGGATTTTAAAAAAAACTCTAAAATATTATTTTACCTCTGATACTATGTTGATTTTTGGAGAAAAAATATAATTTTACTTCTCACCCTTTAGGTTGTTACATCTGAGTATTTATAGAATATCTATTTTACTAATAGAAAATTTTCTATTTTAGTAAATTTCTAATTATATTAAATTACCTAATTAAACAATAAACTAATTTAAATAATCAAATAGAAAAATATCATATTCAATAGTTAGAATGCGTCCTTTGGCTGCCTCCCATGCAAAAAAAGATATACGGGGAGGATTACCAGCTTTCCAGAAGATTTTAGAAGGAAAGTTCCTCTGTATGTCAGCTCTGATTCCATTCCAGATGGCTGTAAAAAGATTTTACAGTAAAACGCCCATCCTTCCTTAGATTCCAACTAACTTTATCATCTTCATTTGAGAGCCGGATATTAGCCAAAGTATGAAGCATCATCTCATATATTAATCCACTTACCAATCTTGTAAATTCCTGCTAACCACCACATTCCAGTCCATAGAGCTGTCAGCACCAGCAGCCTCATTAACAAGGATATTTTTATCCCTTGTGATTGCAAAAATAAGTGAAATTCTGGATTGAAAATTTTCAGTGCCGCACCAGGTATCCTTCAAAAAATGTACCTTATTACCTTTACCAATAATCCACTTAAAGCAGTTAAGAACAGAAGTGTTGAGATTCATAATGGCTTTCCAAAGACTTAGGCCATAACTGCAATTCATTATGCTGGAGTGATCGTGAATGTCCCCACTGAACCATTTGCATTCAATGACTGATTTTCAGAGGCAGTTGTCTTCATTCCAGAATCTCCAAAATGCATTTCCCAAGAAGAGCTTTATTCAGATGACCAAGTGATCTCAGGCCCAAACCACCATCTTTGAGAGGCTTTTTGACATCATCGCATCTAAGAAGGTGATATTTCTTTTTATTGTTGTCACATCACCCCACAAAAAGTTGCATTGGATCGATTCCAGTTTTAGTTGCAACTTTGGTTGGGATATTAAGCATGGACAGAATAAAATCCTAACTTACTAAAACTATAATAATACTCCAAAATGATATAATAATAGACTCCTAAACAACATAATTGTTTCACGTTCAATATAATTATAATTTCTAATTTATTTAAGAAATCTAGTGATAACCTGCTTTGCATCACCAAGTTAAGCAGATAATACATATTTGTAGATATAAAAGAAGCCAGAGAATAAAAAAGGTAACAGGAAACATTGAAAGTTGCAGCTCAAAGCAAGAAATAATATCAGTACTAATAATGTTATATAAACTGTACCAAGTCACTAAATAAACAGCTGCAGCTAAAAATTACAAGGACTATGTAACAGTTATTTCAACAACCAGCACCCATAACTGACACATATCATCCTAAAGGAGCAGATCAAATAAAAGGACTATCTAAATGATTAAACCTCTTCTACATGTCAGCCATTCCCCTAGAAGACCTTACCAATTTCCAAAAATAAGACATAAAAAATAAAAATGCCAAGTGATGTTACACCACCATGGCTGCATATTTAATTTATTATTTTAATTTACTCTTCTTTCTACTCTCAGTAGTATTAGGATTCATTTATTTCTTTCCAATAAGTTTTCTGAATTGTTTTTGAGCATAATGTTTATGAAATATCTTGTTGGAGAAGAGTTACATTAGAGCTGCAATTACTTTCCTAGTCTCTAATTCAGGGTTGAATTGGAGCTAGAAGCATCCTTGAATGATGCATACAAACACACAATGAAACCCCTGAAGCCACACCTCGGTTAGACCCTAATAGCCAAGTAAGTATTACTTAGAAATAGGTTCCTTGAAACAAAGAAGTGTACCAACGATTGGAACGGAACTGAAATTGTCATGATTCTAAAAGATAGACCAGGTGAAAATACCCAAATAAAGTGAACTACTCGGTTTCAATAAGAATTTTACAGCTCATATCCTTTTGAGCATTTTGCCACACTGTTAGTGCTCAATTGTAAAACAACAACTTTTCATGAATAAATTAACTTAATGTAGAACCATGAACATTTACAGCAACGTACACTTATTATCAGGTTCATTCATAAGATTTTATAAAAACGAAAGAAAAAAAAAAGAAAAGTATTGAAGAAGTCAATTTTCCTTTCATGTAAGAAGCCTATAAAAGAGGGGTGCTTCAACAATTTACCCAAATGGATGCTCAACAAGGAAGAGGTGAGTGACATACCTCTATTTGGGTTCAAAAAACTCCCCAAAATCCTCAGCTTTCCCCTCTAATTTTTGTCTGCTTTGCTCAAAATCAAAACTTTAAAAGCTCCCACGGTCGCATACGTCTGCTTAGCAATGTTTGTCTTCTTCGATACTCAGTTTTTTAATCTTACTTCGTTTATTCTGCTTCTCTCAGGTACATGAAATGAGAGGCTAAACAAAATATTGAGGAGAAGGTAAGAAAAAAGAGAAAGAAGAAGAGGATAATGCAGAAAGGAAAAAATAATTAGCTTCTCTCCCCCTCCTCTATTTTCTTTATTTGAAGTTAATCTCACACACACACATATATTATTTAGTTGTATTGACCAATAGATTCCTCTATCTCCCTAATCATAGACTAATTAAAAGACAGAAGAAGAGTCCCTACCTTCTCTGTTCGTCTCTCTCTTCATCAACTCAACTGAAACCCGAAAACCAGAGGCCTGCTCGTTTCTCTCTCAGAGCCTCCTTTCAATCCATAAAAACTACTTCCGTGGTTTCTCTACCATGCTCTGGGCTGGCGGCCGGCGCTAGGAAAGAGGAAAAAGAAAAGAAAAGCTGTGCGGCATTCGGGGAAGAAGAAGATTTTGATTATAGTGTAATTGGGCTGGGTATTTTAATTTTAAGTGTAAGCGGACTGGGCTATCAAAATAGAAGGAGATTGGGCCTCAATTTTAAATTGATGTCCTTTGGTGCTGACCCTCTGCCAGACCAGACCAAAGTATTTGAATCTAATTCAATATAGAATAGATGGTTATGTCTGATTTAGTTTTGAAATGGCATTTAAACTAAAAAAAAAACGTTCATATAAATTAAATTTGAACAAAAAATCATTTTTTTTTATGTTCTGTATCACTTCAAATAGTCATGAACAAAAAAAACATAAAGAAGATGATGTTTTTGTTTATAAGTTTAGTAAAACCAATGACAGTGGTGCAGTATTGACCAGTGAAATTTGAAACTCAAATAAAATCTTTACTATGTGTGCTCCCTTCTTGATGTTGACAATGGCTATTGTCACTTAATATATGAACCACAACAACATATAAGACTAGGATAAGAATTACAAAAATGTATTATTATGAACTAGAAGTTGCAATAATACATGTATGTTGTAGCTAGTATGATCGATACAGATACAAAGAACACACAAATGAGGTTCGTTATCTTGAAATATCAAGCACTGAACTTGTAAAGAGGAAAGCATTTCAGACAAAATACATGCGAAAGATTCAATTTCTTTCCTCCCTCGTTTGCTCGTGACATCTAGTTTAATTGCTTGTACAACAAGTTCATCAATCTGTCATTTACACATGATTAAATCAAAGTTAGCTTCACAATAAGGTTACCACATATACTAGACTATGTATGTTTCCCAGAAATAACAAGGATAGAAAAATAACTCTTTGGCAATGTTCTAAAACCCATATCTAGACCATGCTAGTGAAATCAATTACACATGTTGCAACACCATACTCATTCAAGATCACCAAGTTATCATCCTTGGATCCTGGTATTGCCATCAATAAGGCCTTTCTATTGCATAGGAATGCTTTAAAATTGTTTTTGTTCTCATTCAAGAATTTTTTGTGCAAGTGCAAAATGTCCCACTGATGGCACCGCCAATGTGCTTACTGCTAAGGAAAACAGTCATGTTCTTTGAATTATTGTGACCTTGCATTAATTAGTCCATATTGACTCATTACTAGCGATTCCTTCATGATTATTAATAAAAAATACCGAATTTTAGCAAAATATTAATGTTAAGCATCACAGTATCAAGTTGTTTTAGAATTAGTTGTCGATAAACATTTTTCAAATTCTTCCAATTAAGCATTTATATTCAATATTTATACCAATATTTTTCAAGGAAGAATCCTGGAACACAATCTACGAACATCATATTATGCGTCCGAACACAGGAGAAGTTGATCGACTTTATAAAATCAAATTGCAAACTATACTTTCTATTCGGTTTTACAATTTTTCAATAATAAGACAGTATTAGAATAATAGATAGTTTTGTAATTAATGTAAATGATGTGGTTAATTTTGTAATTATATTCCCTGTATAATTTTGGGTAGATTGTGTGATACATGTTGTCTACTTGATCAATCGCATACCCTATCTGGTCATCAACAATAATACTCAATTTAAGGTGTTTGGATGTCTTTATTATATCTCAACCATTGATAATCATAGATCAAAGTTTGTTCACCGAGCCACCAAATGCCTTTTTGTCAGTCATCCTGCTCATGTAAAAAGGTTTCAGGTATATGAACTCGAAACACAGAAAATATTTGTTTCAAGGAATGTCCATTCCGTTGAAACTATTTTTCCTTTCTCTTCTACTATTGCGAGCATTTCAGATAATTTTTTTTATCCTCACTGATTTTACAGCAGAATTTGATAGTAACATAAACAGGTCTTTAAGTAGTCAAGATGGTGTGGAACATGGCAGCTCTGTTGAACCAGTTACTTCTGGTAATTATCCTTCATCTACTTCTCATTTTTTCGATAATACCAGATTTTTTTAATAAAGATATAAACCTTATTCCCATTGTTTCCACTGAACTTGTTCACTCAGAACATGTTCCCACTGTTTCCACTAAACCTGTTAACCAATATACACATAAACGGCCTACCAGAACACTCAAACAACCTACACATTTTCAGGATTATTACATGTATGGTCTCAAGCCTCGGATTAATTCTAATATATCAACTCCTCATTGCATTTCACAAGTTATTTTATACAATAAAATCAGTGAGTCATATAAGTCTTTTATCCATGCCATTTCTTAAGACTAAGAGCTTAAAACCTATAACAAAGCCATTAAGTTCGCATATTGGCAAGAAGCAATTCTTGTTGAAACTAGTGCACTAGAAAAGGACCAAACTTGGGAGTTAACCACTTTACCTCTCAATAAGAATACAATTGGGTGTAAATAGGTATATAAGATAAAAAAAAGATGGATGGTTCCACTAAAAGGTATAAAGCCAGATTTGTTGGTAAACGTTACATTTAGCAATAAGGTATTTATTACTTGGATACTTTTTTTTATTGTTAAGTTAACTACTATATGAACATTGTTAACCGTTACTGCTGTTAAAGGTTGGTTTTTACATCAACTTGTTATTAATAATGTTTTTCTATATGATGATCTACATGAGAAAGTTTATATGCAACTTCCACCCGATTTTTCTTCTACTCATAAGAATCAGGTATTTAAATTGAAGAAAAGTCTTTTTAGTTTGTAACAAGCAAGTAGGTAATGGCATTTCAAGCTCATTAATGCATTAAAAAAGAAAGGCTTTGTACATACACATTCAGATCCTTCACTATTTCTTAAGTCTACTGCTTCCTCATTAATTGCACTTGTTGCATATGTTGATGCTGTTATCTTGGCTAACAATAATATGGATGAGATTCAAATTGTCAAAGTCTATCTTCATGATGTTTTCAAAATAAAAGACCTTAGATATTTAATTTTTTTTTAGGGTTTAAAGTCGCAAGGTCTAGTAGTGGTATTAACATTTGCCAACGAAAATATATGTTGGATTTTTTACGAGATACTAGATTCTTGGGTTATAAACCAGCATTGACACCCATAATGCCTTCACATAAATTGTCTCGTAATGATGGCTCTCTTTTTGTTGACAATACTTCTTACCGACGTCTTATGCCTTCTTTGACTAGATATATGCTATGCTTTGCAGCAATTATCTCAATTCTTGGAGGCACTTACACAATTGCATTTATAAGCTGCTCATAGAGTCTTACGATATCTCAAGGTTACGCTTAGTTAAGGCTTGTTTTATCCTTCATAGAACTCTTTGTATCTAGAGGCGTTTAGTGATTCTGATTGGCTTCCTACATTGACTCTCGCAAGTCTGTTATTGGTTTTTGTATTTTTCTCGGTGATGCTCTTATTTCCTAGAAAATGAAAAAGCAACAAAGTGTCTCTCGATCGTCTTCAAAGGTCGAGTATAGGGCACTTGAAGTAATAACATGTGAATTGCAATGGTTATAGTACTTGTTACTTGATTTACATATTCCTTATCAGACAACTACTTTATACTGTGATAATTTATTGGCTATTCAAATAGCAGATAACCCAATTTTTCATGAACGGATGAAGCACATTGAAATTGGTTGTCACATTATTCGTTGAAAAATTTCTAATTAACTAATTCACTTACTTTCAATTCCTTTATCTCATTAGTTGGTATATTATTTTACGAAGTCATTTTTAGTTTCAAGTTTTTAAACAAGCCATTGGCAAGATAGGTATCCAAAATTTGTATACTTCATCTAGAGATGAGCTATTAGAATAATAGATAGTTTTAGAATTAATGTAAATGTTGGGGTGAATTTTGTAATTATATTCTCTGTATAAATAGTACAAAATTTTCATTAATACACACAAAATCATTTTCACTCCCGAATTTCTTCCTCTCGATATCTTTCTCCAGAATGCTCCTTGTGCGTTCTGTTTCACCAAAGTTCATCAAGTTCATTTCATTTGTCTCCAACTCTAAGTTGTAAACTTTAATAGACAGAAGCTCAACTTTCAATGAATATGTTAAGTAAAAAAGGAACAATAGCAATCCTCAACAAAGTTCAAGGTTCATAGGAGAAAAAGAAAAAAGAAATAATTTATAAATGGATAACCATGAACATGGATATAACTCAATTTAAAAGGCTTTCTCGCCCTAGAAAGTACCTAGCTACTTAGAGATGAGATACTAGAGTGGACAAGAAGGAGGGGGTCGAGGGCACCATTCCTTTAGCCCTAAGACTCTTTTTTTTCTCATTTTCCATAACTTTCTCAGGGGGTTTCTTCTTCGATTTTGCAGATTTAGAGAAAAATCTACCATTTCTAACATTATTTGGTAAATCTCTTAACGCCGACTATTATAATAGTTTTGTAATTAATGTAAATAAAAAAATTTACATAGAAAAGAAAGAATTCATAAAAAAATTGAAGTGTTTACACCTTGCACTGATTATTAGTAGTATTACACTTATCAGCTGTTAGCCGCGTCTCAATAGTAATGCTATAACATCTAAATACCTGTAGGTATTCATTGTTTTCTATGTGCACTCATTCTGATTTTCTGATTTCCTACCCATTTTTTGGTGTTTGTAACCGAGTTCTAACACATGTAAAATTATAAACTTAATATAAATACCAAGCACAATGATGGAGATCACGACAAGACACACATGAGTGGAGATCATCATGGCAAGGCTCACATGAGCAAAGATCACAGCAAGGCCCACATGAGCAGAGATCACATCAAGATGTACATGAATGTACATCATCACGGCAAAGCCCCAATAAACGAAAATCAAGACCTAATTCAAGATGAGTAACATCTACACAGAGATAAGCCTAAGATGGACACAACAAAAGATGGGTGTGGGCTATAAGGAAGGAGTATCATAATGCCTAATGGACCAATCACTATACTACAATCTAAGAAACTCAAGCAAGCCTGTCACATAAAGCCACTCACTTCTCTTAATCCAATGGGAGAGATGACCAATCCTTTTCTTATAAG